GCTTGGCAATTTAGACCTTATTCGTGTTTTTAAATACATATAATGGAAGTATTATGTTCTGATGTGCATCGTAACTTGCAGAAACTGATCTACGATACGTTTATCTTAATGTTGTCTAATCAAAACAGTACACTCTGTAAAGCGCATTTGTATCAATATGCTGTGGTAGTTACACAAACGAACACATATATGATATTAGCTGACCATCAGCTTATCAAATTCAGGACTTCAAGTTTCAGTGCCATGAATGTCGTCGCAATGTATTAGCAGTCATACCTAATAAATTGATTGCCCCATAATAAAACTCCAAATTTTAAATGTTTTCGTTTTCAAACAGGCAATACAAACACGATTACGTTTCGTGTAATTCAAGAACAGACTACAGCCATGGCTTTCGAATGGAAACCAATGACGTACGAAAAGCTTGAGTATGTTTCGTTGGTTCAAGTGAATCCACGTTCGTGCAATGATTCGGAGGAATTTCCTAAAGGCAATATAGGTTTATTAGAAGCTATTGGTGAACCATGTGATGTTACGAAACATCTTGCAGAAGGCTACTACTCGGTCTTCACTTATTTTTATATTTTCCAGACTTATCACATGACGTACAAAAGAAGTGAGTTGGTTACTAACTGTTACCAAACAATCATACTTAAATTATCTGTTCCATATTCATTACAGTTGTTGAACAATCGAATTATCTATTGACATTATGAAGATCATATGTGCTGTGTAAAATTGAGTTGAGTTACTTGTGATGAATATCAGACTCTAGATACGTTGTAACAAAGCCACAATACTACTGCGTTTGATAGGCCAACTGACCAGTATCTGTGTTCATCAACAATGACAATGTCACTGTTATGTCTATCAAAGCGTCCAAGCTACTCGTTTGAGATCCTCGAAAAATCGTACTTTCCGAAACAACGATTTGTCTACAAAAAGGATTTTCAACTTGTGAGGTGTCAGCGGCGTTCATACACGTCCTTCAAGTATGAAAATGAAAAGGCTTCCATAGTACAGCTGACAGCTGATAGCTGTCTAAATTTGATAACATTTTATGAACAACCGAAACCCAAACCAAGAGCAAACAATATGGAAACTGTGAATTACCATTACTGTTATTAACGTTCAGTGATTATGATGATAAATACAATGATAAGTACAATAAAAGTTAAAGCTATATATGTGAACATTTCAGAATGTTACAATACATTAACAAAACAACATGAACGAAGAATATTTGAGCGAACAATTTTTTGATAACTGCATCATCAGGCTCTACAGTTATAAGTCCATAATTATATTTTACAAAGGCCAAAAATAAGGCATGTTTTAATGAGTTTGACAATGTTATATGTTAAAAATGTTGAACGTTTGCATCTGTTACGAAATATATATACTTCAAAAAATTGTAATGTTTGCAAATTAGAAAGGTCATTCAATAAAGGTCAGTAAATTATTCAGTCACAATAAGATAATAGTACTATTTCAAAATTGAAAATAATTTTGTCAACTGAGATAATAAGAACAATATTGTTGTGTGAATATAATATGTAATAAGGGAGGTGTTATCAGGGTAATTACGGTCAACAAATTAAGAAAGATGGATACGAAGATTAAGACATAGATAATGACAAATAATGATAATAAGGAAAATAAATAAAACTGAAGAAAGGGGTAAGAGGTCCATAATATTCAGTCTAGGTATTTGGTGATCCAGTAGTAGGCCAGAGTAAACATAGAGGCTGGATATATTTTTTCTGGATGCATAAATTAGGTCTTCTGGAGTTGATCCAGATGGCTTCGGCTGTATAAAGCAGTCGTAATCTAACTCCTTGAGGTAGATATTTTGGAACTTGATATAAAACAGAGAAAGCTTCCTCTATTTTGATATGATGTTCACTATCTACCAAGTGAGAAAGAATGGTGTTGTCAATCGATTTGATGACTCCTTTTCCCAACAACGCTGGTACATGTTAACGAACACGAAAGGATGAAGCCCTCTGAGTACGGCCTATGTAACTAGCTCCAGAGGAGCAGTTGAATTTGTATACACACATGGAAGAGCACATCTTTGGTAACATATCCTTGGTTAATTGTTGAGTACTTGTTTAGTCGAGAAAGTTATGTGTAACTTGGCGGCATGAAACGTCATCCTCGTTTTTGAATATAATATGGGGATTATTAAATTCATTAAAAAAAAAGTGTGATAATTATCAGGAAAACAACTGACTACTGAAAGAAAATAGGTAGTATAAAAGCAGAAAGAGAAGAAAAAATTTACTTAAGAAAAACTAATAAATATACTGCAGTCATTTTGTACTCACATTGGTCATTTCGTTCTATTCCAGTTCCAAGAATCCAGAATGTTCAAATACAGTATATGCAAGATGTGTATCCACTTCTAAGGTGGAAAAAAGAACGACGTCCCTGTGAACCAACTGATATGACCATTATCTTCAGAGGATATTCCACACAACAACTACAGATGTATGTCATCTCGGGCGACCAAGTTGAGCATTATATGAACGACTTCCAAACAGAAGAAGGAATGGAAGAAGTTTTCATTCTGTTCAACAGACATGGGAACCGCTTCTCTCTACCAACGATGGGTAACATTTTTTTATGTTTCTCATGTATTGCAAGGTTTTTTTAGCAAACTAGGTTGTGGAAGTTGAGAGATGTGTGCACATGTGATGACATTGTACATGTTTATCGGCGGAAAAATTTAAAAGGAATATCTATCAAGATCGTTACCCATGTTCACCACTGACTTGCACAATGCGATTCAGACGTACATTGCGAAGGATGTTGTTCCAACGTCAACTAACCGTCCCTGCTATTACAGAGATATCAAATTTATTCACTTAAAGTTATTTGCATGATCGCGTAGTCACAGTTCACTGGGGTGGGTTTTGACATAGTTTTATTGTATAGCTAGAATAGAAATGATGGTTTGATAGATCTCGATATTTTTTCTGACTTCGCGTTTTTGTATATGACGAAGCAATGTGATCATGACTGTTTGATGAACTCCCTAGACAAACCCTTACTTCCAATTGACTTCATGCTTCTGACGTGGCGAGGTAATTTAAATGAGTTTTGAACATTTCTCTATGTGAATGTGCCTTATCTCAATACTCTGATTTTTGCTATGTCACGACTAGAGTCATTTGCTGTTCATCTGTACCGAAGACAACATCATGGCAATAATGACTGGCGTGAATCATTGCAAACTTTAGCAGATATGATAACCACTGGTCCACATACATTTTACATTGACTATGTTCATCTCAACACGTGATGTTTGCAGAGTCAGCCAGGACGCGACAGTAATGATTTACATGTACTAAGAACATAGGATCCAGGCTGGAGGAATAGTAGATTGAAATCGATCCCACGCGTAAACTGTTTTTTATTGGGCTCTGTTGAGCTGAATTTTATGAATTTGACATTGAATTGTGAAATAATAGACAAACTGTTTGTTTTCTTTTTTTTTCACATTGGTATCGAATGAAAATGCCATGAATGTGAGTTTCGTGATGACATTTTAAGCACAAAAATATGTTTTGTTCAGTAAATAACTTCGTGAAAGTTTGATGACTATAAGACAACTAGTTCATTCTACCTGAATACACGGTGACAATGCATTTGAAGTGTGTTCTGTGGATCAGTGAGTTGTGTTTCAATGTAGGTTCATTACGAAACCAGAAGTTCTTGACTTTGTACAGAAACTAGGTGAAATGACTTCTAACTGAAACAAGTGAATATCGGTAAACATTTGAAAATATTTGAGAATGACCAATGTCCCCATTCGTGTATTGTGTCTATGTTCAACCGAATTTTCAACGTAATACCAACCGAGTCACTATATTGTTTTCATTGTATTTTAGTAAATGAAGCCAAATGTAAGTTCATGAAACGATTCAGTACTTATAGTATATTAACGTTGAAACTGATTAATGACTAATCATAAGATTTTGGGTACGAAAAGGTCACAGTTGCTGTGAGACGAAAATGTTCATTGTAACAATCTGAAACATTAGTTCACATGATAAAGTCACAAAAATGTACATCTCTCTTTATTGTTTAACAGACAAAAATTCAATGTGGAATAAGAGCAACGAACGAAGGAACGTCCAAAGCACAGATGAGATAAAACAAATAAAACTCAATAAGGCTTAATGTCAAAACGACATGAACTGAAAGAATACGGGCGATGAATATTCATCAAAGAGTATATCACATGGTATAGAAGTGAATCAATTATATGTTACATGAGACGTGAAGAACAAATTACTTGTGTCTGTCAGTCGTATCGTGACACCATCATTCATGCACGACCATTTTGTGTTACAGAGTGTGGTTGCGTATTTCATCTAACAAATATATTGCTACAAATTATAATTCCGTCATGTCAGTCATTCTTATTTACCAAATCACTTGATGCATGAACGTGAACACTGAGTTGATGAACTGTAACTGGCAATGAGAAAGCCACTTCACTTGCTTCAGTTGCATCAGCAGTCCACTACAGCTCTTCCTTCCCGAATCTCACATTGATTCAATATAAACATGCACATGAGCACTTATGTATTCATCCATCCATCCATCCATCGTGGTGGAGTATTTGGAATTACTCGACCAGTGTTTCATGCTGGAAACCAGAGGAATGCATCATTCTCATATGCATAACATTAGTCACTTCAAGGTGGACAGCCCATTTGGCGAAAACCAATATCATGCCAGTGTCGTCAGATGACAGACAATACTGGAAATATCACTGCATTCAACAAAAACAATCGAAACGCGCTTCACACCATTATAGCTACACTGAACATGGTCATAACACTCGGAGACTCGTGTCCTCCATACCTCTTACTTAAGGTCATTCGTTAGAAGTGACGTGCAATTTCGAACTGATTCACTACGTTGCAACGACTTTAAATGACTAACCTTAATAGTAATTTTTTACAAATTTTACAAATTTTTTACGAATGAACTCATTCACGAAACTAGCATATTCACGGCATTTACTCACCTCCTTCCTCACCACATTTTCTTCAATTTATTTCTGTTTTACAGCATCGGAAATACCATCTCACACTTCTGAGACAATCGCAGTCGATACAGGTGAGTATTGATTACGGAAACACGATGAATTTCACAAATGATAAAGATGTTGATCCGTTGTGACCTGCGTCGATGTTCAAGCTCATTCCCATAAAACCAGAATGGCAAGTGAAACATACCTCAAACTACGTAGACACTTTCAGTACAACGAACTCATCGATTTCCATAGAATAACCTTATTGCCAACATCGATCAATCACACAGATACTTCACTGACACAACTCCATTCACATTTCACCAACATTCATTCAGTGTTCTCCTGAAACATTGACATCGACATGGCTGCAGTCAGACCACTATGTCACTGTCTCTTGCATTTTCAATTCGTTCATCTGACTGATTTTCGAATACTGTGTTGTATGCAAGTGTATCTGGATAATGTATGGTTGGTTGAGGTTGTTTCATTGATGTGTACACTTGATGGTGAAAGAGTGCATCTCCCGTCCGCAGACATCATTGCCTTACTAGTTATGAACAAACACGTGTGTCTTATATTAGTATTGTTAGATATATTTTTTTATTATTGTCCTTTACTTTCACGATTTTACAATAGCGCAATGTGTTACTGTTTCTTTCCCATAAATATTACGTATTTCTCCTATTTATTACCCTTTGCCATCAGTATTCGCCTCACAACACACGGTATATGGACAGTATGAACCTGCGTACTTGCAGACAAATATGATCGGAAGTGAGTGTGATCAGTATGATTATGAATAACTATTCAATTGTAATGTTCTCATATCAGCAGTCGCTATTGTTCTCTCTAAACAACTATGTTTATCAAACATTTGAACTCTTTCTGTATCATATTTCATTTTTGCTAATCTCGTGATAACGAAGACTAGAGAAATTACTGTAGGTTGGTTGGAGCTGCACAAACGGAAGTTTATTTCACTAGTTAAACGAAGAATTCAACACGAGGTACATTGTTCGTGACATCATCAGACTAAATCCTCGAGTGGTTGAAATGTCTGTTGAAACGACAACTATAGTATGTGAATCAAATGCAAACCGACACAGATTCCTACTAAGAGTTTCATCTAGAAATCGATAGTATTCGGTGATGCACTTACTGCGTGAACCAAATGAAGACGTTTTATAAAAGCACTTTCTGAAGAGTGTTGAGGTGTATGACTGGACAGAAATCAATTCATTCCTCAGAACCGATACCACCACTCACATGTGTGCATTTCTGGTGGATTTTCTAAAAGCAACTTGATGTTTCAGTAACATCAAAGTTACAGTTACGTGTAAGCTGGACTAAAGTTCAACAAACACTGGTAAATCCGCTAAATATGTTGCATTTAATCGTTAGTATTTTTCAATCTCACTCACGAAATTAAGACGATAAGTGTATTTGAATACGCGAAGATACAGCATTACGAAGACCTATTTGAAATCAGACAAAGTAGATGGTAGACGAAATTTCTTGGCGTCATAAAATATTTAACACAACATCGAGCAAGTGGCCTTGTTGGCAGAGTCTAAGGCATGATGTTTGTTCTCACAGTTAAATGTGTCACCTTATTTCATTCGTTCAGAAACGTGTTCGACTGCTGGTCAGTGTGCATTTTTGAGTGCACATAATTATGCTAATCGTTGCCTACGTAAACCAGTATCGACAGACACTGAATAACGTCGAAGTATATCAAGTATGATGTGAATGCATAATGTAGATTATTGATAATCCAGATCGAGGATGATGCGTGAGACATTGTACCACATGTATGATTATTCACTTTTCTGCTATAACGGATCTCTGTGTACACTCATTTGCCTGTAGTTTATACTGCAGTGATCAGACAAATTAGAATGATCTCCGGCTTGGCAATTTAGACCTTATTTGTGTTTTTAAATACATATAATGGAAGTATTATGTTCTGATGTGCATCGTAACTTGCAGAAACTGATCTACGATACGTTTATCTTAATGTTGTCTAATCAAAACAGTACACTCTGTAAAACGGATTTCTATCAATATGCTCAGATAATTACACAAAGGAAAACATATATGATATTAGCTGACCATCAGCTTATCGAATTCAGGACTTCAAGTTTCAGTGCCATGAATGTCATCTCATTGGATTAGCAGTCATACCTAATAAATTGATTGCCCCATAATAAAACTCCAAATTTTAAATGTTTTCGTTTTCAAACAGGCAATACAAACACGAATACGTTTCGTGTAATTCAAGAACAGACTACAGCCATGGCTTTCGAATGGAAACCAATGACGCACGAAAACTTTGATTATGTTTTGTTGGTTCAAGTCTTAGATGATTGGTGCGATGTAGCGGTCAGATTTTACGAAGGCGATATTGGTTTATTAGAATCTCTTGGCCTACCATGTGAAGATACAAGCCATACTGCAGAAGGCTACACCACAAACGCCATTTCTTCTAATTTCCAGACGTATCACTTGACGCACAAACGAAGTGAGTTGGTTTCACCCTGTTCCCAACCAATCATAATTTCATTTTCTAATACATATTCATTACAGTTGTTGAACAATGAATTATCTATTGACATTATGAAGATCATAAGTGCTGTGTAAAATTGAGTTGAGTTACTTGTGATGAATATCAGCCTCTAGATACGTTGTAACAAAGCCACAATACTACTGCGTTTGATAGGCCAACTGACCAGCATCTGTGTTCATCAACAATGACAATGCCACAGTGCTGTCATTTTGTGCTCTCATTGTCCGTTTCATTCTTTTCTAGTTCCAAGAATCCAGAAAGTTCGAATACAGTATATGCAAGATATGTATCCAGTTCTGAAGTGGGAAAAGGAACAATCGGTCTGTGAGACGACTGATGTGACCATTATATTCAGAGGATATTCCACACAACAACTACAGATGTATGTCATCTCGGGCGACCAAGTTGAGCATTATATGAACGACTTCCAAACAGAAGAAGGAATGGAAGAAGTTTTCATTCTGTTCAACAGACATGGGAACCGCTTCTCTCTACCAACGATGGGTAACATTTTTTTATGTTTCTCATGTATTGCAAGGTTTTTTTAGCAAACTAGGTTGTGGAAGTTGAGAGATGTGTGCACATGTGATGACATTGTACATGTTTATCGGCGGAAAAATTTAAAAGGAATATCTATCAAGATCGTTACCCATGTTCACCACTGACTTGCACAATGCGATTCAGACGTACATTGCGAAGGATGTTGTTCCAACGTCAACTAACCGTCCCTGCTATTACAGAGATATCAAATTTATTCACTTAAAGTTATTTGCATGATCGCGTAGTCACAGTTCACTGGGGTGGGTTTTGACATAGTTTTATTGTATAGCTAGAATAGAAATGATGGTTTGATAGATCTCGATATTTTTTCTGACTTCGCGTTTTTGTATATGACGAAGCAATGTGATCATGACTGTTTGATGAACTCCCTAGACAAACCCTTACTTCCAATTGACTTCATGCTTCTGACGTGGCGAGGTAATTTAAATGAGTTTTGAACATTTCTCTATGTGAATGTGCCTTATCTCAATACTCTGATTTTTGCTATGTCACGACTAGAGTCATTTGCTGTTCATCTGTACCGAAGACAACATCATGGCAATAATGACTGGCGTGAATCATTGCAAACTTTAGCAGATATGATAACCACTGGTCCACATACATTTTACATTGACTATGTTCATCTCAACACGTGATGTTTGCAGAGTCAGCCAGGACGCGACAGTAATGATTTACATGTACTAAGAACATAGGATCCAGGCTGGAGGAATAGTAGATTGAAATCGATCCCACGCGTAAACTGTTTTTTATTGGGCTCTGTTGAGCTGAATTTTATGAATTTGACATTGAATTGTGAAATAATAGACAAACTGTTTGTTTTCTTTTTTTCACATTGGTATCGAATGAAAATGCCATGAATGTGAGTTTCGTGATGACATTTTAAGCACAAAAATATGTTTTGTTCAGTAAATAACTTCGTGAAAGTTTGATGACTATAAGACAACTAGTTCATTCTACCTGAATACACGGTGACAATGCATTTGAAGTGTGTTCTGTGGATCAGTGAGTTGTGTTTCAATGTAGGTTCATTACGAAACCAGAAGTTCTTGACTTTGTACAGAAACTAGGTGAAATGGCTTCTAACTGAAACAAGTGAATATCGGTAAACATTTTAAAAGATTTGAGAATGACCAACGTCCCCATTCGTGTATTGTGTCTATGTTCAACCGAATTTTCAACGTAATACCAACCGAGTCACTATATTGTTTTCATTGTATTTTAGTAAATGAAGCCAAATGTAAGTTCATGAAACGATTCAGTACTTATAGTATATTAACGTTGAAACTGATTAATGACTAATCATAAGATTTTGGGTACGAAAAGGTCACAGTTGCTGTGAGACGAAAATGTTCATTGTAACAATCTGAAACATTAGTTCACATAATAAAGTCACAAAAATGTACATCTCTCTTTATTGTTTAACAGACAAAAATTCAATGTGGAATAAGAGCAACGAACGAAGGAAAGTCCAAAGCACAGATGAGATAAAACAAATAAAACTCAATAAGGCTTAATGTCAAAACGACATGAACTGAAAGAATACGGGCGATGAATATTTATCAAAGAGTATATCACATGGTATAGAAGTGAATCAATTATATCTTACATGAGACGTGAAGAACAAACTACTTGTGTCTGTCAGTCGTATCGTGACACCATCACTCATGCACGACCATTTTGAGTTACAGAGTGTGGTTGCGTATTTCATCTAACAAATATATTGCTACAAATTATAATTCCGTCATGTCAGTCATTCTTATTTACCAAATCACTTGATGCATGAACGTGAACACTGAGTTGATGAACTGTAACTGGCAATGAGAAAGCCACTTCACTTGCTTCAGTTGCATCAGCAGTCCACTACAGCTCTTCCTTCCCGAATCTCACATTGATTCAATATAAACATGCACATGAGCACTTATGCATTCATCCATCCATCCATCCATCGTGGTGGAGTAGTTGGAATTACTCGACCAGTGTTTCATGCTGGAAACCAGAGGAATGCATCATTCTCATATGCATAACATTAGTCACTTCAAGGTGGACAGCCCATTTGGCGAAAACCAATATCATGCCAGTGTCGTCAGATGACAGACAATACTGGAAATATCACTGCATTCAACAACAACAATCGAAACGCACTTCACACCACTATAGCTACACTGAACATGGTCAAAACACTCGGAGACTCGTGTCCTCCATACCTCTTACTTATGGTCATTCGTTAGAAGTGACGTGCAATTTCGAACTGATTCACTACGTTGCAACGACTTTAAATGACTAACCTTAATAGTAATTTTTTACAAATTTTACAAATTTTTTACGAATGAACTCATTCACGAAACTAGCATATTCACGGCATTTACTCACCTCCTTCCTCACCACATTTTCTTCAATTTATTTCTGTTATACAGCATCGGAAATACCATCTCACACTTCTGAGCAAATCGCAGTCGATACAGGTGAGTATTGATTACGGAAACACGATGAATTTCACAAATGATAAAGATGTTGATCCGTTGTGACCTGCGTCGATGTTCAAGCTCATTCCCATAAAACCAGAATGGCAAGTGAAACATACCTCAAACTACGTAGACACTTTCAGTACAACGAACTCATCGATTTCCATAGAATAACCTTATTGCCAACATCGATCAATCACACAGATACTTCACTGACACAACTCCATTCACATTTCACCAACATTCATTCAGTGTTCTCCTGAAACATTGACATCGACATGGCTGCAGTCAGACCACTATGTCACTGTCTCTTGCATTTTCAATTCGTTCATCTGACTGATTTTCGAATACTGTGTTGTATGCAAGTGTATCTGGATAATGTATGGTTGGTTGAGGTTGTTTCATTGATGTGTACACTTGATGATGAAAGAGTGCATCTCCCTTCTCAAGACATTTTTCTATGACTCGTCTCGAAATAAAGACTTTTTCTGTCAATCGTATCGTGACACCGTCATTCATGCACGATTAAATGTGTTGAAAGGACTTTAAATGACTAACCTTAATAGTAATTTTTTACACATGATCAGTGAACGAATGAACTCATTCACGAAACTAGCATATTCACGGCATTTACTCAACTCCTTCCTCACCACATTGTCTTCAATTTATTCCTTTTATACAGCATCGGAAATACCATCTCACACTTCTGAGCAAATCGCAGTCGATACAGGTGAGTATTGATTACGGAAACACGATGAATTTCACAAATGATAAAGATGTTGATCCGTTTTGACACTTGTTGATTTTCAAGCTCATTAACGTGAAACCAGAATGGCAAGTGGAACATACCTCAAACTACGTAAACACTTTCAGTACAACGAACTCATCGATTTCCATAGAATAACCTTATTGCCAACATCAATCAATCACACACATATTTCACTGACATTCTATCATCATTCCTCCAGTGTTTGTGTGTAACTTTCTCATATTCATCCTTCATTTTGTGTTTTCCTTCGTCCATTGCTTTTCATATTATGGAATATTTTTATGCAGATTATCTTTATTTTTGTCAAGTCATCTGATTCGTTTCGTGCTTCTGTCTTCGAAACTGGCATCGTTTTCTGTTTCATATCGTCAACCTGGCATCGTTCATTTCTATTTTCCCTCTTCATATGTATTCTTTATGATTAGTTGATAATTAATTTCTTTTTATTTTAACATTTGCATTTTCGCTTGTTTATTCCATCTCCCAATACTTCTGATATTTTGCTTTGTTTTTCTTTCATTCTTCATTAAGTTTTCACACTTTCCTTTTTTTTTATTCGTAATATGATTTCTTGATTTTCACTTCTGTTCGATTTGATGGATATATGTCGTTCTTTGTATGATTGATTACCAACTATGTTCATATTACTCAAGGGAGTACTGAAGTAATTTTTTGTTAACAATCTTGGTGAAATCAGAATTTTTTCACTGAACATAGATCAGTATTGAGGATGATTATTCTTAATGGTTGGTCTAATTGAAAAAGATGAAATGTAAAGTAATAAACTTGAGTTTTATTAAAAAACAACTAAAGAGTATCCATTTTGTATGAGTTTTCGATTCAAAATCCATCTTAACATGTATGTTTTTTATCTTTCATTTGCAGATCAGAATATGCTGAATTCACCACTATTTGAAAATGTGGATCGCATCTGTGAGTGTGCTATTCACTGGGTTTGATTTATTCATTTTACCATTAACTTGTATGTATATATGTTGTTTTTAAACATTTTGTGTGAAGGTTTTTTTGTATACGCAACATGTTACATTCAATTTGCCGGAAAATTGAAAGTATTGCTGATTTTTCTAAAGTCATTATATTGAGCGACGATTGTGCATACAATATGACATCCAAAATTAATATTCGTCTTTATCTAAACAAACTTTGCCTCAATATTTGACATGATATTATGATGTATACTAGGTAGGTTCAGATAATGAAAACTAATTCTGAGTATATCTACACAATACAAATCAGGTTCGTTCAAGATTACAAACAATGATATAATTTAATCAAAGTGAAACATATCAAAAGAAATTTTTTTTTTTAAATTACCTCTTTCAACCAACCGGTCTTCCTGCCGTCTCACGTGACACATAGCATTTCAATGTGGATATTAAAAATAATTCTACTCTTATTTTACACCCACAGATTTTTAGCTCGTTTTTATCTAGATTGCTATAACCAAATTTTGTCAGAATCAGATTCAAGTTTGGTTTGCCATTCAAGATTCAATAGGTTATAATTTTTCTAATGAAGTCGCTTGTACTAGAAATCACACGGTTGTATTACATGGATATTTTTCTGATGCAGTTGTAATATTTCTACCTTTAAATCTCGTGGATGAGAGTTTCTATGATCTTCATAACTGTAAACAAATGCTAATTTTCATTCATTGCTTTCTTTTCTCTACCAGATATCTTTGTTCCCATTTTGGTTCTGATAACTTCTGTGGTCGGCATAGCTTTGTTCTTTC